GGGCATGTACTTTGGTAGAAAGCCGCAGTACCCAACGAGCCAGGTACAGTCGACTAGTAAATCATCGGCAACATTTGTGTCATATTGAAGTATAGCTGGATCATTGTAAGTGAAAATAAAGGAAATAAAGTACCTAAATGAAGTGCATTCAAATCTGAATCAGTGTTCAGAATGTGCTGCACACTCAAGCGTGACCCATCAACAACACTAGCAAGGATACAATATCCAAACATGGGACGGTGTTACGGTGGGATGCTTAGATCTACAAATCGTTAAAGTGCAATAGGCTTCATTTACTACGCGCTAAGTGCCTTGCGCATCTGAACGACTTCAGCGGGAAGTTGGTGTGAGCTTTGATATGAGTCAGTGAATAGCCGTTCTCAAATATGATAACCGTTTATCTGCCTGCGAGATGTTTGAGTGCGAGCAACTCTGTATGCTGTCCGGCTTGTGTTGATGCTGATAGTGATCAAATTTATATTGATTTATAGTGGGTGTACAGTTTTAAACAAAGGAATGAGGTGGGTGGATATTGCGCACGTGTACGCAAACGTGACCGTAGGCATCCTCACACCAATGATAAACATCCGTGGAAATTGGCATCAGATCTACCCAACGGCCAAGGATGTTCGGTGCCCTGTCAGTCGCACTTTGTGTAAAGATAGTCTAACAATATCTGTATTTTCTAAACTGAAATGTATCAAAATCGGATATTCTCGCATATTGTATACGTCAAGAACTTGTCACCACAATTCTGTCGCGGAGACAAAAAGATATACAACCGCTTTATTGATGCATGTTATATCAAGAGGATGACACACCATCTTGGCAGTCGGATGTAGCCACAAATGTACACTGATATCTCGTGGGACAATAATATATCAGTGGGTGGAACAGTTTAATACGGCGACAGCACTACAACGTTCCTGTTGATCATTGGCAATTTGTCTAAAATATACTTTTTTAATTCACGTGTTTACCTGGCTTTGCCTCTCTCTTAAAATACACATACATCTTCTACATATATGAGCAAAACAGCCAAATCAAACGGCGAACAAGATATACTCGGCTACATGGCGTGGTTACACAGCAAACTACAAACATCTAAGATAAACGGAGTTCGTGAGTGAACGTTACGGTATAAGAACATGTACATAGTATAGTGAAGAGAAAATTATGTGAAAGAGATTGGATATTTATTGTACTTATACTTCTTTTCGTATGGGTAGAATAGTCGACCAACAATTTAGTTTGTGGCCTTCTTGTACTCGCCCTCAGCATCGTTGGCTGTCTTCGACGCGGAATTTTTTGCTTCCTCCTTCATGTTCTTTGCATCGGTCTTGAGGTCCTCCGCTGTATACTTGTCTTCTCTCTTGTCCGCTACGTAGTCCGCTGCCTTCTGCTCCGGTTTTTTGTTGCCGCTAGTGGCCTTGTTGTACTCACCCTCGATATTGTTGGCTAACTTCTTGCCCTTGGTTTTTAAATCTTCCTTTGCATTTTTGGCGTCTACCTTTGTGTCTTCAACCTTATCTGAAGTGTTGTTTCGTGCCTCGGTTACATTGTCTGCAGCTTTCTGCTCGGCTGGTTTCTCACCTGAGACTGCATTCGCAACCTTCTCATAGCCGGCTTGAGCCATTCCCTGAGCACTTGCCATGGCGTTGTTGATGGTCTCGGACGCTGACTCAGTGTAGGTCTTGGTGGTGTTGTTATTGGTGTTCTGGGCAGACATGTTGATTAGTAGTTGGATTAGCTTCTTTATTGCAGTTGATTTAAATGTGAGAATTGAAATAACAGTTGGCTCGCTTTTTATACTGCAAAAAAATGCGTACTTGGCCTAGTGAATTGCAATTCTTCATGATTGGGATGGTCTCCACGCATTAATCAAACATTTAGTTTGAGTCATGACTATGGTTACACCATATCGATATCTCGTTCTATCTCTCTCTCTTCCGACTGCAACTACTCTACTAGAGCAGAGTGAAGAGAGAGAGAGACCATATTATTTCACTGCAGGGACGGCAGATCGCGAATTTGTAATTGGTCTTCAAGCGATCTTCACAGGTGACATGAAAGATACGGATTGAGGAAGTCAGCGGAACCCAGTGAGTCTCCGTGGCGGGTCATGGGAGTCGTGTAATTCGTACATAAAAACAGAGCACATTCCGGAATTCATATGATCCAACATGATTGGTTTAAATACTTTTTCCAGTTGAGGCCGCTAACAACGAGAAATCCACTTTTAAGTTTGTTTTGTTTTGTTTTTTAAATTATAATTGAATTTATTTTCAAAAACAATCATGGGTTTTTTTGTGCCAATTTTGAATTAATATTTTTTTGCCATGGAAATCTCAACAGACCTAACTTGGTAAACAACACCAATACGACAGATATTTTTTATCTATATCCGACGTGTTCGTTATAAGATATCTTTTCCTCATACAGTTACAAAATATCGTCTCGTAGAAAAAAAAATGTAGTTAACATATCCAACATATGTCGCAAATGATTCCGATCGCATCGTTAACCAAGTCAGCTGTAGATCATGAATTGCTAAAATTACGCTCCCTTGTGTTGTCTTCACTCTTCTGTCAGTTGACATTTATTTTATTGATATTTAGCTCTCTTCTTTGTGTCTGAGACCAAAGCTCAATACGTTTTCCTATATGCGTTTAACTTTAAACGTAACCGTAAAACGTTTATAAACCATTTTAAAGTATATCGGGGGCAAATCGACCGTGAGAATTTTCCAAATTTGCACCTGATATGATGACCTTTTTTAACCCATTCACAACTGACATGCAGTGAAAAATAGGACAATTCGTGACACTTAGGCCGCCTCAAAAAATGTACCTATTTGTAAACCCATAGGGCTATATTTAGGATAAACGTATATTTTGCGTTTAAACGGAAAACGTAATGAGGTTTGTCTGAGACTGCGAGTCTGACACTGACAGTCTGTGACAGTCTTGAGTTGTCTCTTGACTGCTCTGGTCTTGAGACTTGACTCTTGAGCTATTTTTTGTTTATATTTTTGCAAAAAGGTCATAAATAACTGATATACATATCACTTATTAGTACATATTTATGAAATCATTGATATGATATTAGATATATCGTGGAAGTTCGGAACTAGGGTACTCAATCTTAATTTTTCTAAAAATTCATTTTAATCAAATGACTTTGCAATAAACCAATCATTATATTATAAATGACCGTAATGGCAAATAAATACAGTCTCTATGGCAGGTTTTTAAAAACCCATAAATGTACCTGATAACAATATAGATGTCAATTTATTTTTTTGCAAGAACCCGACGGATTCGGGTCGCGGGACGACACTCCGATAGCTATAACCTCAACTCTGAAATTCTCACAGTCACAGACTCAGAGTCCAAGAGTCCAAGACCCCAGTCCAGAGTCCAGAGTCCAGAGTCCAGGACGGCTCATCTCTAGAGACTTTTAGACTTTAGAGAGACAGTAGAGTGAGTAGACTCTAGACTCCTAGTAGACTCCTATTCAATCAGCCAGTCAGCCACGCCTAAATAATATTTTATATATAATTATATACACATAGTCACATACAGTCACTCTGAGCCTGCTGAGCTGATGAGCACTGGAGCAGGGGGCTAGATATTGTCAAGATTGCAAAAAGAAATCCTTTCGCCAATAAGATGTGATCATGTTACTTCATTTTAAAAAAAAAGGAGTGGAAGAATATATTTCAAAATTGCGTACTTGTGTGTTTGTTTTGCAAAAATTACATGGACGATTTAAGTTTCCAACAGATTTCGTGTTCGTCATTGTTCTTAGTGACTGGTGTTATGCGCCTCCCTCTCTCTCTCGCTTTTATGAGACCATACCGTGCATCTAGTTAATTGATGGTTCAATAGCAACACTATAAAAGACCGCTTGTCGATCATAGTATCCGTCACATATTCAAAATCAAAACCGCAATACAAAGCAACATGCCTTCTACCACTACTCAGACTACCAACAATGTCAACGACACCAACACCAAGACTTTCACTGAATCGGCAACCGAGACGCTGAACAAGGCAGTGGCAGGTGCGCAAGAGTTGGCTCAGACCGGATATGAGAAAGCTGTGGATGCTGTCTCTGGCCCTAAACCAGTCGAGCAGAAAGCCGCAGATAACGTGACAGAAGCTAGAAAATCTGTATCCGACAACATTGAAGACGCAAAGGTGAGCGCTAAAAACGTCAAGGAGGATTTGAGTACCAAGGGTGACAAGATGGCCAATACACTCGAAGGAGAGTACAACAAGGCGACCAGCGGTGATAAGAACGTGGAACAAAAGGCTGCCGATTACATCGCCGCTAAACGAAATGGCGAGTACTCGGCAGAGGATGCTAAGGTGGACACTAAGAACCAGAAGGAGGATATTAGAAACACTATTGCTAAGAAGTCCAATGAAGCTGAGGGTGAAGTCAAGAAGGCCACGAACTAAGCTGAGAATATCGAAGCGATTGGAAGTTTATTACACGAATCATTAGAAAAATAAAGAAAGCGTACACCATCTATCGACAAATGAATTTATTTTTACTGAATTAATTTGCCACTCTCAACGTAGGCTACGAATATGGATAGTATTCAAAGGTGATTTTTGTTTTTAAGATTAGCACAAAATATACATATGATGCCTGCAAATTAAAACAATTCAACATTCACAGTATATTAAGTTATTCGTTACTGCACAGCTACTGTGATATCAAAGTAAAGTGTCCGTGCGTTTATTAACATAAATTTGTATACTCGATTATTTTTGAAGCTTGTACTAAACATTGTTATCAAATTTTCTTGTTTGCCATGTACGTCTTACAGTAGACAGGCTCTTGTCCCAAAGCCCTCTGACGACAGTGATAACTGAGCGGCTGACCCGTCTCAGTTCCTACCCGGCATGATTGCAAATTGCTGTTGTAAATTTTTATGTATATATTACATTAGTTTCAAAACCTAAATATTGTTCAAAACTTCCAAGACTCAAATTCAGACCCGAAGCCTTTTTATTTTTATACACCAAACAAATGGGATAAATTTTATTAGGCTCTAGGCCTACATAATAATTAGCAAATATACATCTGCATCACTATTTGTAACCGTACCAGTTTTCAAAAAGTTTTGACTTTTGTCATAGGAACAATATAGCCTACGACGTCGGATTCAAATATACAGATACAGCTACGCACATCGAATATAAATACTGCGCAAGATGACTACTTCGTATAGTCAACACATGTGGATCACATAGTAACTGCAATATGTGTATATAGAAATAGTTCACAATCAAATAGTGACGAAAGCAATACCTCGGCAAGATATACATTATCACACTAAATTTTTCAAGGCATGTTGCTTGTTGCTTCAAATGTTTACGTTACGCAAATGTAAATAACTCTGCACGAATGAAGAATTGAATCATAATTATTAACATTAACAATCGCTCACATTCCTATGATTAAGGTTATGAGAGAATTGCACATCTATATAGCTGCACACATATGCTCGTATCGATACTTATATATTTGTATATGCATATATATATAACA